CCCCTTCCCTTTATCTTTGACAGTAGGATAAAGGAAATATTCTTTTCAATGTCAGGCTGTCTTTCTCCACCAGATGGTTAAGGAACTTCAGCCTTCTGCCAGACCTGATTATTACAGAAGTTTTATTAGTATCCTCTCCGAGCAAGTTTTCAGCAATTAAGCATCTCTATGTATTTCTTTCTGTTCCTAAAAATCACTGATGCCTGCTGTGATTTTCACAAAATGCTGGCTGCTTATCCTGCACCTTGACTTCTTGAGAAAAACTTCCAAAGTTTTCTGCATTTTCTGTTCTGTAAAAAGTTTCAGATATTTTGAGGTTGACCAGGCAGACATCCTTTCAAATATGTACTTAAAAAATAATATTCTAGCCCTAGCCGTTTGGCTCGGTGGGTAGAGCATCGGCCTGCGGATACTGTGTATTATAACTCAGTTGAATCTCACATCAACTGATGAGGGTTATTTTGCTGGGAAGTTTTTTCCTAAATGTCCCAGTGGGGAGCGTGTGGGAGGCAGCCAATCAGTGCTTGTCTCTCATCATTAACGTTTCTGTCTCTTCCTCTCCTCTCCTTTCTGAAATCAATAAAGAACAAGAACAAAAAACTTTGAAACCTTAGCATATGGTGCAGGCAAAACTTGCAGAACAAAAACTTGGTATTTTCCTTTCTTTTCAAAAGCAAATTATTTCCTTGGTTATTCTAATTCTTCCAGACTTTATTTTCTCTAAACCAGTGGTTCTCAACCTTCCTAATGCCGCGACCTTTTAATACAGTTCCTCATGTGGTGACCCCCAACCATAAAATTATTTTTGTTGCTACTTCATAACTGTAATTTTGCTACTGTTATGAGTCGTAATGTAAATACCTGATATGCAGGATGTATTTTCATTGTTACAAATTAAACATAATTAAAGCATAGTGATTAATCACAAAAACAATATGTAATTATATATTCAATATGTGTTTTCCAATGGTCTTAGGCGACCCCTGTGAAAGGGTCGTTCGACCCCCAAAGGGGTTGCGACCCACAGGATGAGAACCGCTGCTCTAAACTTTTGAATGCTATTTAAAACTTTGTATTGTAGACATTTAAAAACACATAGAGCGAATAAACCTCATGTACCCATTGCTAGGTTCTACAATTATCATCCTCTCATCACCCATGTTTTTTGTGTTTGGTGAAGCAGGGGGATATTTTGAAAAAGTGCCTGGAATTAATTAATTGATTAATTGATGAATCTTATTAATTCTAAATCTCGCCCCTGGAGGTGTCTGAGTTTTGTCCTCTGTCTAGGGGACTGCTCTTTCTAAGCTCCCTGAGTCGTGATCTAAGATTTTGAACTAATCTGGAGAGTCTGCTTCCTGCCCATGGGTTCTTTTTTCCCTGCCTTACTCACTTGTGATCCTAATTGTCATTCCTTGAAAGTGCTTGTGTCCTTTCCTCTTGCCTCATAACTTTCCCTTAAGAGATCACAGTATGGGAATTTAAGTTTCTGTCTTTTTAAGTAATTTTTTTATGTAATAAAATTGCATGTATCCTATCCATAACCTTGTTCTTTTTTTATTCTTGCCTGAGGATATATTTATTGATATTATTTTATATTATTATTTTTAATCCTCACCCTGGGATATTTTTTCCATTAATTTCTAGAGAAAGTGGGAGGGAGGTGGGAGGTAGGAGGGGAAGAGAGAGACAAAGATAGAGCCAGACAGACATTTTTGTGAGAGAGATACATCAATTGTTGCCTCCCGCACCTGCCCCCACCAGGACTGGGGAACCTGCACCAAGGTACTTGCACTTGACTGGGAATCAAACCCTCGACCCTTTGGTCAACGGGCCAGTGCTCCAACCACTGGCCAAAACCGGCCAGGGCATATTTCTTGGTTTTAGAGAGAGAGGGAGAAACATCTATGCAGTATGTGCCCTGATCTGGGATCGAGCCTACAACCTTTTTGGTGCCCAACCAGCTGAGCAATTCTGCCAGGGCCATACCTTATTCTTATTTTTATTATTATTTTTTAATTTGAGGGAATTTTCTTTATATGTCAACAAATGATCATTTTTCTTCAGTGTTACATGTGCATTTGCCAAGAAGGTGTATTCTTTCATATGTAATACACGATAATGAGATCCACCTTTTGGTTGTATTATTTAGGTCTTCAATAGCCTTATAAAATTTTTGTTTACTTGATCTATCTTCAACTAAGAGAGGTTTTAAGTCTTATTAATGTTTCCAAGTCTCATTGACCCTCCTAAGACGTTTTTTAAAAATCAAAGTTGTCATACTATCCATGTATCCAATAGTACGTCTTCATGGAGCTTGCAGCTTGTAGCCTTATTTGTGTCTCCCTCTTTAATCATTTCTGGCCTGAGTTCTACCTAATGCAACATCAAAGGAGTAACCTGTTTTCTTATATTTGATTTTTCTGGGATTATCTTTGCCTAACCTCTTATTCTTCACCTTTCTGAGTCTTTCAATTTTGTACTGGTAACATAACCTTATTTTTTTAAAATATATTTTTATTGATTTCAGAGAGGAAGGGGCGGGGGGAGAGAGAAACATCAATGATGAGCGCGAATCATTGATGGGCTGTCTCCTGCACATCCCCTACTGGGGATCAAGCCCGAAACCCAGGCATGCGCCCTTGACTGGCATTGAACCCAGAACCCTCCAGTCTGCAGGCTAACACTCTATCCACTGAGCCAAACCAGCTAGGGCCATGACCTTATTTTTAAAAGCTATATGCATTCAGTATTTTGATCTCTTTTCTACTCCAGAACACATTGCTCTTTGGAAGTGTATGGTCCTTGCTGGTTCTTTCCATGTTGCTTCACTTTAAAAAGTTGACAAATCTTACTTTATCCCTAACCTGAACTGTGTCCCAGGAAGATGTGTCTGATTGGAATCACATGATAGGAAAGTAAAGCCAATTCACTTTGACTTTAAGCTCAAAGGAGAATTTCTTGGCTGATATAACTCAATGGCCAATATTAGTTCTAGCAGGAACAGGTGGATCAGGTATTCAACTAATATTCCCAGGACTCTACCTACTTCCTCTGTCAGTCAGATTTCTTAGTTAATTTTCCCCCAGCAGTTCCAGTCTTAGTTATCAACTTAGTAGAAGTAGTTCTAATAATTTTGCTCATAGTTCCAACAAAAGTCCCAGGGCTGACCCTTGGCCCAGCTTAGGTTATATGCCTACCCCTGACAAGTGGGGAACGGCTTTTATAGGCCAACCCTGGGTCGTGTGTCTGCCTCTCAAACCACATAAAGTAAGATTGAGGAATTAGGTAGATACCTAAAGAGATATTGCGGTGCTGTTACAAGAACAGGAAATGGATGCTAGGCAGGCAGAAATAACAGCTATCTACTGGAGAGAAGATGAAATCAATAGGGGCTAAATGTCCTCTAAGAGTTACACAAGTACCTATTATTGCTTTAAAGGCTCTAAGTTTAAAGTTAAAAATAAGCGCATTTGACAAGGGACAAAAGCACTCCCAGAAACAGTTTTCTCTTAAGCTTCGGTAATAATGTTCCACTGATACTATGGCTAAATTATCTTTTAATTTGATTCTTCTATTAATCTGTACTTGGAATCGTAAATATTTGAAATCTAATAGAACTAGAGCTTTTCAACTGACTTAGGTGAGTTTTGTATTTATTATAATTGTGTCTGAGTTCTTTGCCTTCCAAATCAGATTATCTCATCTACCCACCCTCACACTTACAGACTGACTTGCTATCTGGTGGGGTTTTCAAATAGGGACTGCAGGAAAAATGAGCAAATGAAAAACCCCAGTGTAAGAACCCAGGCCATGTTTTAGGGTCTCCATCTTTTTTTCTGGTGCTGTTTTACCTGTTTTTGGAATAATTATTCCCAACCAGATTAGGGAAGAAAGGAAAGTAGCTGAAGCCCATAATTGGGTGCGTCAGATAGTTGTAGAATGAAAAGAAGCCCCTAATTCTCAAATTAGTCTAATTGAAGTCTGGCCTTTACTGCCAGTTGTGGGGTTGTCACCTCCACCTCTGATAGGAACACTGACAATTAGAATTTCACATATCCGTTTTGTTGTAAGGAAGGGGAGTTCATATTCAGCTTTTAAAAAGCGGTTTGAAATTAATATCCAACTATTGAAGAACCAAGACCCCCTACTCTCATAAGTGAAAATAGTCCCGCTGGCATGGCTCAGTGGTTGAGTGTCAACCTATGAACCAGGAGATCATGTTTTGATTCCCGGTCAGGGCACATGCTCGGGTTTCTAGCTCGATCCCTAGTGTGGAGCGTGCAGGAGACAGCCAATCAATGACTCTCTTATCATTGCTGTTTCTATCTCTCTGTAACCCTTCTTCTCGGAAATCAATAAAAATATATTTAAAAAAATTTTTAAGTGAAAATAGTCACATCAATGTCATACATAGTTTTCGTGCCAGATTTTTTTGTTTAAAATTATTATTCTCATATCTTT